GAATCTCGGAATGTGTAAGTACAATAAAAATCTCGTATATCACAAGAAAACATAGGTTTTGGTTTTGATTACGTACCGTCGAAGCAGATAAACATAAAGAGAGACGCTTGACTGATTTAAGAGGTCCCAATAGCTTCTTGGGATCTTCGTAAATGACTTGAACATTCGCCTCAACCACCTCAGGCATATTATCTCTCAAGCACAAGTCACCATAGAAATCTACAAAGTTGAAGTACTTCAAAGACGGGGCATTGACCACAAACGTAAAGTCATCGTACAGTTCTCCAGATGTATCAAGAATAGATAATCTCTGTAAAGTAGGTATTTCTACATAGAAAGACCGCACATGGAAACTGTTATAAGATTTGTCCAACACCAACTCTTCAAGAACAGGACAACCCGATAAAAGCCTACGATGAGATTTTTTGGTTTTGTACTCTACACACACAAGGTGTAATGATTTCAAGGATGGAAAACAAACAGCGATAGGAACATTCAGAACAACCGTGGAAGCGAGTTTCAAAACCTCAAGTTTTTCATATGAATAAAGACTCTTTGGTAATTTGATTGACCTATGTTCCCTGAAATATCCTTCACAATGGGATATTTCAAGTTCACGCATATCGCGAACCATTCCAATTCTGATCCATGTTGCTATATCTTCAGAGCTGCAACAAGGACCAACATCGAACTTCAGAGTTTCTAGAACCTGAGCTCTATTCAATACCATTGATTTGTCTACATACTTGAGAAATCTCTCGTAATAGGAAGGATCAAGCTCAAACTCATCGTCAAAACGAAGTTTTGGAACCATTGTCCAAAGAAACTTCCAACGTTTTGACAAAAGCATTGTGACGACAACATCTTTGGTAGGAAGTGATGAAAAAATCTTCAAAAGCAAATCATCAGACAGATTACTAATCCTATCCATTTTTTGGAAACCACTTGTAGACTCAAAAACCTTTCAAGATTCAAACAAAGATGTATGTGATGATTACTAAAAAACTAACAATAATACAAATACCCATCGAATCAATCACAACCCTAACAAAATCAAAGAGTAACCATGAAGAGAAGAAAACCCAAAAAAAAAAGACAGATAGTTTTACATGAGATTGATTCCTTCTGTTTCACACCAAAAGGAGATGATGAGGGAAGATTTGGAAGTTTGACTTTGAAGAGAAGGTGGTGAAAGTGTGTTTTTGCTCCGTACGTCATCAAAATAAACAAACCAAAAATGGAAAATTGGGCTCAACGTAATGGCCCAACTTTAGTATATAAGGCTCAAAACGAATATTGGAGAGAAGAAGAAATAATCTTTACGTTGAGAGTATCTAGAAAAATTCGGTGATTACTGATTAGCATGATGGACGATGTTCTATAGATAATTTAATATGGACTGTTACATAAGATAATAGAATTAACTGTCCAAACTAGTGGATGATGCAGTAAATACAGGCGTCAAAGAGTTCCATGCTCCCGACATCCCACATCCGACATCCTACCCAAAATGTACATAATCTAAAGTGTTCAGGTTAGAAAATTTAAGCCTGTTTAAATAGACGCTAACACGAAAATTAACATGATATATAAGTAATTAAAAGATTGAAGATTTTTATTAGGAATGAATTCTTTGAGTCTAAAAAATCCTTGTATAATCTTTATCACAAAAAAGTATATAAACTATATTAAAATATTAGTATTATATTAATGAGAGATTTGAAAGATTCTTTCACCAATGGAATGCTCTTAATGTATATATTTACAGATTTATATGCATGTTCATTATTTTATTTTATCTCGTTATAAATTTTAAATCACTAAATACAGGAAATTTATTGAAAAATTTTCCATAGATTTCTCGCCAACGAAAATGGTCTTAGCGGATAGGTTACTACAACGATATTACATAAAATATAGTTGAAGTTTCCATGAAAAGAAGAATGAGAATGCATTGCTTTAAACTTTTTTTTTCTTTTTCTTAGAACAACAGAAACAACAACAACAAAATAACAAGAAAACCAAAAGAAGAAGAAAATAAAAAAAACAATCTTTTCTTAAATCTGCCAACTTTCTATGGGTAAGCACAAAAAGTGATCATATGCATTTCACCACTTTGAAGAAAAGAACTTCTTGAAGAAAGGAAGTATCCTCTTCATCACTTTCTCCTTCTTCTTCTTAGGTTTGTTCAGCTTGATATAGCGCTTTCCAAGCAGCCAAGTGGTCTCCAATTCCTCTATCTCATCATCATAAGCATCATTATTAGTACTCTCTGAGCAGAGTCTTTTTAGCAAGCTTTCCAAGAAGATAGTAATCTCTTTGAATTCAAGACGATTCTCTGAGTCTTCGGCCCAACACGATTCCAAAATTGGTACGACCTCATCAGGAATATTAACTAGGCTTGGTCTCATGCCCTGAAAGAAAAAAGATCCATCAATTTAAAATCTTCTTCATTTAAGTCAAGATTGTTGATTTGTATATAACTTTTACCTGGTTCACAAAATAGGGAATAGAAATGCTATCCATCCCATGGAATGGTGTCTGGTTAGTGAGCAACGACCATAAAATCAATGAGAAGCTAAACACGTCGACTTTGTGGTCGTAGTGTTTTTTCTCCCCAATTAGGAGTGGCTCACGGCTGCATACCTCAGGGGCCATCCATCGATACGTTCCCGCCTCACAAGTCATGCCACCTACAGTCGTTTCTCTTGCAAGTCCAAAATCAGCCAACATCACACGTTGCATATCACCAGTTACCAAAACATTCCCTACACAAACACCGATAACAAACAATTAATTTGTTTCACTATCTACAAGACATGATGATGTGTAAAATGGAGTATATTTACTTGGATTTAGGTCACGGTGAATGATGCCTTTTGAGTGCAAATACTCCATGGCTCGAGAAATGTCCAAAGCAAAGGTTAGTGACGTCTTTAGATCTAGAGGACTCGGACGAGAGTTCAACATGAACCTCTGAAGAGTACCACCTCTTACGAGTTCGGTAACTATCATCAATTGTGGCTCTATGCAAGCTCCAAGAAACTGTACAATTAATGTTGAAAACACCAAAAGATTAATTACTCATTATCGTAACATTAATATTAAAAACACCAAATTATTTTTTTTGTTTGAACTTTGAAACATCAAATGATTTTTACATATTGTTTTTTATTCTTACCCTCACAATGTTGCGATGTCTTATCGAGGATAGTAGCAGAACCTCCTTTTGAAACTGTTGTTTGTGCTGAATGCTTACAGCAGATGTTTTACTCGGCTGCACTATCTTCACCGCCACAGGCATAGTGTGTTTGAATCTATAAATCATTAGAGAAAATATATGAAAATAGTGATTAGCAAAAACACTTCATTCTTATGGGACTGGAGATTCAAAATTTTCTATTAATGGTTTCTATGCAACATCAGATTAATTAATTCACTCCAAACTGTGGAGTAGATCTAATGATTGCCTTTTGACATAGATTTTGGTCCTTAGGTAAGTTAGGTTGCCTCACCAAAACTTCACATATAGTTATTGCCTGAATAAAAATTTTACAGTTGTTTCGGATATTAAAGAATTAAAAAAAAAAACTGAAATGAAACTAGAAAGAAACAAGAAGTCAGCAAATTTTGTTTGGAGAAAACCTAATAAATTATTTTTCAAAGTTTTATAAGAAATAAAAATAAATAAAATCTTAAAGAGAGAGAGAGTGATGAAACACACAGGCCTTGGTAGACGATGGAGTTGCCTCCTTCTCCAATCATCTCTCCCCACGTGATGTCTTTAGGGTTGAGAAGCAACCCTCTGCTGATATTGAAATCGAACTGGTCACCAGACTCATTTTCATCTGAGCCAAAAGCTGACATGAAAAAAGGGTAGTTCGGATAAAGCATCATCGTCGGGGCAATGGCCATTGTTGGAGCTCGCTGGTACATTTGTTGAGATTTCATTTAGATGACTAGAAGTGAGTGAGGAAGATGAGTGAGAAGACTGTGAAAGTGTTTGGGTTATATAGAAATACTAGTGCTGAGTTTGGGGGTACTTATGTAATTTCAAGAATTGTCTTTTTAAGGAAAATAGAGAGTCCGATATTCTGGTGGAATTAGAGGGACTAAAAAATGAAAGATATTGTTATGTATTAATTGACAATTATAACTTGAATGGGAATATATAGGAAAAATTGAAAACTAAATCTTATCTCTTTAAGTAAATTTTTTCTTTTATTCACCACCACATGTCATGGTTTTCTTAGAATCTTCTCTTTTAAGTAATTTTTTGTGTATATGTTTAATAGTTCTTTTGGCCTTTTTTTCTTTAACTATACTATATATATGTGGACTCTATAGGGAAACTAAATTTATCTAAAAATTGAAAAATATATATTCCGTTTCTCCTTCTAGATACTATTTAGGAGTTAAGAGTCCAGTTTCTATCCAATTTGTTAAATGAAAATGGTAAAAAAAAGGTTAAAAGTATTATATATTTTTCTAATTTTTATTACATATATTTTTTAAGAAATAATCTTGTTTCCATCACCAATAATTTTTAGTGATAAAATAGAAAGTGGCGAACTCAAAACTCTAATCGATAGCAACCAAATAAAAATAAATAGTGTTAAACGATCGAAGACATAAATATAAAAAGTGTTAAACGGTCTATTTAATAGTGGTTTTAATGTTCAACAGATATACCTTTTAAATATAATTACTGAAATATAACGGTCTCAATATCATAAATTAAGTAACTATTAAATTGATCTCGTATAACCTAGCTAATCGTACTATTCTCTATTTTATCATTAAAATATCAATATTACGATTACCACAATAAAAATTAATCTTTTAGTTCTTAACTAAAAATTAATCTTTTAGTTCTTAACTAAAAATTGTGTTGACAATAGAACAAAAGAAAGTAGTTCTTTATAACTAAAAGTTTAAATTAAACCGCAATCATTCTTACATTCAACATTATCTTCTTTTTTTTGGTCAAACTTGTGAAAGGAATGCAATATGAGAACTTCTTGAGGGCATCCACCTTTTTTTAGGTCATCCATCTTAGTACTACTCTTTTCCGAATATATATGTTTAAAAGCGGAGTTTTGATGAGATCTGGTACATTAATGTTATTATGATCGTATTCACATTAAAAACTCAAACTAAAATTTGGTTTCAGCAACATATCTTTATACCACACAATGTGTACCCTCCTTTATCAATCTATTGTCATTTACTAGTTAAATTTATCAAAACCAACTTCAGATTCATTTAATGGATATGTACTTACCACAACAATATATTGAAATTCAATGAAAAGGAGAATCAAATGCAATTGGTTCTATACTTTCAAATATAATTTTTGAAAAATGGGATGGGAGGGAAATATATGATATTTTATTTTATGGTATCAATTGACAAAAACATAAAAAATAGTAAACGATCGATTCAATACCGGTTTTAATGTTTAATAAATATATCTTTTACAAGATATACTGAAATATAATATTTTCAATATTAAATCGATGTTCCCAATCGTACTATTTCGATTTCATCACTCAAATGACTAACTAAATAATAATAAAATTAACCTTTTTAGTTCTTAACTAAGAATTATGCAGATAATATATAACAATCAACTAGTTCTTCATAATTTAAAGTAACAAATAAAACCGCATTCAGTATTATATCTAACATATTCTAAAACCAAAAACTCAACCTAAAATCCGGTCCCGACATCTGATATATACTCAATATATATTATCCATTTAATATTGTAGACACATCAAAGCTACAGATTATTACATAAACGCATTAATTAACTTTATCAATATAAATAAAATCTTAGCAAGAGAGAAGGAGGGAGAAATGAATTAGTCAATCCTTTTTTTTTTTTTTTTGAACAACGAAATTAGTCAATCCTTTGTAGACAAATGCACTACCCTCAAAAATCTATTGTTATTTACTATGATTATCATTTCTAATCAAAAATGTTACATTTACCAAAACCAACTTGAGATTTCGTTACCACAAGGATATATTTTCTGTAAAAATAAATAGTTGAAATGTCCATGAAAAGAAGAACGGGAATTCATTGCTTAAGGAAAAATTTCCTTACAACAACAACAACAAAAGAAAAGAAATAACAATAATTAAAACACAAAGAAGAAAAAAAGAACAAATTCACTAACAGAATCTTCAGTCTTGTCCTTTCCTTAAATCACCAACTTTTCCCCTTTTTTTTTTATGGACAACACAAAAAATGATCATGGCTTGTACAACCAAGCCTTGAACTTCTTAGAGAAAGGAACTCTCATCTTCATCACTTTCTTCTTCTTCTTCTTCTCCTTAGGCTTCTTCACCTTGCAACGATACTCTTGAAGCAGAGGACGGGTCTCCGAATCCTCCATCTCATCGTCATAAGTCTCCTCATCCGGTAGTGTTGTGTCAATACTACTGTTTGAGCTCAGACTTCTTAGCAAGTTTGCCAGTAAAACCGAAATCTCTTTAAACTCCGGACGCGCATCCGGGTCATGTGCCCAACAAGATCCAATGATAGGCACAATCTCATCCGGAATATTCTCCAGACTTGGTCTCCGACCCTGTAAAAAAAAGATATCCAACATTTTAAAACCTTCTCCCTTTTAAGTTAAAAAGGTTTGATATATGTCTGACTTTACCACCTTGCTAACAAGATAGGGAACAACGAGGCTACTAATCACGTTAGCGAATGGTTCTTTGTTTGTAACCAGCTCCCATAATACTATGGCAAAGCTGTATATATCCGCTTTATGGTCATATTCCTTCTTCTCCCCAACTCTCAGCGGCTCACGGCTACATACCTGTGGTTACAAAACAGAAAATCTTTAACTTATATGTTTCGAAATATAAGATTTTGCTCAAACGAATCATTACCTCAGGAGCCATCCACCTATAGGTGCCAACCTCGCAGGTCATGCCACCTATAGTCTCTTCTCTTGCAACTCCAAAGTCAGCCAGTTTTACATGTTTCAGATCACCGGTTACCAACAAATTCCCTACACAAGTACACCAAATAATCAAATTTGTTTCTCTATTTAATGTGTAAAAAATGGAGCATATTTACTTGGATTTAAATCACGGTGAATGATGCCATTTGAGTGCACAAACTCCATGGCTCGAGAAATATCCAAAGCAAAGCTTAGTGCCATGTTTAGATCAAGAGGATCCCGACGAGAGTTTGTCATGAACCTCTGAAGATTGCCGCCTTCAACGAGTTCGGTCACTATCATCAATTCTGGCTCTATGCAAGCTCCAACAAACTACACATCATCAAAAATCATGTTTATTTATTTTATTTTACTTTTCAAAGAAAACATGTTTAATTTCTTATTATTATATAACAATAATATTGAAAACACCAATATAAATAATATTTTTGTCATTTTTTACCTTCACGATGTTGTCATGTTTCATCTTGGATAGTAATAGAACTTCCTTTTGAAACATTTTTTCGTTCGCTTTGTTTACAGAAGAAGGCATACTCGGCTCCATTATCTTCACCGCCACGGGAAATCGGTTTCTTAGCCTATAAATCATTATAGAGAACATATGAAACATAGTGATTTACATTAATTAAACGCATTTAAATTCATCAATATAAAATAAGAGAGATGAAACACATACAATCCTTTGTAGACGATGGAGTAGGCTCCTTCTCCAATCATCTCTCCCACTAGGATATCGCTTCGGTGGAGAAGCAAGTCTTTGCTGATATTGAAATGGAATGGCTCGACGTCGGACTCATTGTAAGAAGGATAGTTTCTGAAAATCATTCGAGCTCCCATTTTGAAGATTGGAAGTGAGTGAGGACTAAGGATGATGAGTGAAAGAGGAAGTGTGTGCACCTATTTATAGTACTACAAAATGTGGGTGGTAATTCTGTAATTTTAAGAGTTGTTTTGTGGACTAAAAATGGACGTCATGTGGGAGAGGAAAAAATGAATTTTGTTTCATGTGTATTAATTGACAATTAATGGTAAAAAAGGGAAAAAATTTGTTTACCCAATTAGCATGAATTGCATGACCTGGTTTCGTTACTAACCTTATCTCTTTAAGTAATTTTTATTTATTCACCACCACATGTCATGATTTTCTTGTAATCTTATCTTTTAAGTGAATTTTTTCATAAATATGTGTAACAACTTTCTTTTTACTTTTTTCATATAAGCGTTACTCTATACATATACAATTATATGTGGACCCGATATGTAAAATATGCAACTCTTTTAGCAAAAAAAACTTTATGCATGATGTGCACAAATGTATACCACGAGAAAAAATGGTAAGAAATAGAATTACTATGTATTTTTATCAGTTTCTATGTAAAATAAAAATTAGAAATTGATAAAAAAATACATAGTAATTCCCTTTTTTACCATGGTATCACCAATAATTTTAAAGAAAAAATAATAGAAAATGATGAAGTTAAATTGAAGACGATCACTGTAAAAAAAGATAGTGTTATACGATCGATGACAAAAACATCTAAAAACGATCGAACCACTAATAGATTTAATATCCAATCAATATATATCTATAGCAATGTACTTGTTGAAATACAACGATCTTAATACCATAAATTACCAAGTTAAGTTAAAGACGATCGATGTAAAATAAAAATAAAAAGGGTTTTACGATTGACGACAAAAAAAATCATAAATGTTAAACGATCGATTCAATAATAGATTTAATATTACAATGTACTTATTAAAATATAACGATTTAATACCATAAATTTAGTTATTATTAAATCGATCTCGTAACACATGATCAGACTATTTTCTTTACTAAAGACAGAAGTTGAGTTAAAAGTGATCAATGTAAAAAAAGTGTTTTTCGATCAAAGACAAAGCATAATAAGTGTTAAAGATTGATTCAATAATGAATTTAATATTCAATCGATGTATATCTATTACAATGTAATTATTGAAATAGAACAATTTTAGTATCATAAATTAAATTATTATTAAATCCATTTCATAACGCTGAATCATGCTATTTTCAAATCCATGTAATAATATATATCACGATTACCAAAATAAATGAAAATTAATTTTTAACTATTTTTTGGAAATTTTAGAACAAACAACTAATTCTTGATAATAAAAGATCACAATTAAAAATTCATTCATTTTATGATTTTACATTCTATATGATTTAAAACCGAAAACTCAAACTAAATCTCGGTAACCTAATATTAAATTCTAAAGATCAATCAAACAAACATACCTTTAGGGGAGGGATTCAAGATATACCTGAACAAGGAGTTGAAAAATTTCTTACTTTTCTCAAGAAAAGTTTTCTTTGTTTTGTTATCTGATAATGTAGTAATAAAACAAAAAACAAAAAAAAAAAACAAAAAGTAAGAAAATTTTCGAGAATTATGGAACTCAATAAATAAATAAAATTGAAATCGAAAGTCGAAACCAAGCAATACATTTTAAAAGGTTTAGGAATGGCGGCGATAAGAGAGACACACAGTAGCGTGGGAAGGAAGCTTCTTTCCTCCTACTAACACTTATCGACCGTTGGAAATGGAAACAAGACTTCATACGGGCTTATTAATTAGATTGGGTCGAACTTTAAAAGCCCATCTGAGTTGTCTAATTTTCACCCACCAAACCTAGTTTAAGTTTTTGGAAGTGAGATTGGTGTTCAACAATTTACAAAAGCTGTGAAAATATGTTTTACCAGTCAACGCTGGTCCTTTTCCTTATTTCGTTTGTTACATTCCAAATTCTTATAATCTTTACGAATTACGAGATTGTAACGAATGTTTTTTTTTTAATGTTAACTTTATTGCAACAAAAAAAAAGGACGGTTTACACTCAAATTTAAATACTTTGAAACTAATGAAAATAATTGGAATGAAAAAGAGTGGAAAAAAGAATTGAAAAAAAATTGATTGAAATAGAGAATCGTAGTCGAAGATCAATTCAGCTGCGTGTTCCACACCAAGTCAATAGGAGAGAATCATATATGTGGCCAATGCATAATAGACAAAGTGGATGATTTGGTAGAGTTGAATTTGATATATAGAATATCTCTTTGGGGTTAAAATATTAGTAACACAGTCACGAAACAAAAAATAATAATTGTAACAAA